GAGGTGGATGTCCGTGAGAAATATCTGGACTTGTTCGTAAATGTTTAACCATGTATTGGGGTTTGTAATATTGATAAACTTTAAGAGCATTAAATATGTCTTGAGTTGTAAAACATTGCATATGTTTGATTTATGGAAGTATTTTGAAACTTGCCTCGAAATGGAAGTTTAATATAATATTGCATATGTTGAATGTATTATAGAAATGAAAATATATCATGAATAGTGAATATGATATAGAATTGTGAAATGCCTCTTGAATAGAGATGGATTGATCGGTAATGGGTCAAGTTGTTGAATTTTGCATTATAATAATGTTGGAAACCGAGAAAGCTTGTTTTTGAAAAACTTGTACTTAATTTTGGGGACAAAATTCTTTAAAAGGGAAAGATTATAGCAATCCCGGTTTTCCCATCATTGTTTAACAGTATTCCGGACTTGGGTTCCGTGGAGTTGGTTGTTGTATATGTTGTGTTGTCATCCTTTAATTCCTTATATTTGAATTTTAGGATGTGTTGGGCAGGTTTGTTACAAGTTGGTTGAGCCTTAGTCTCCATTCTTGTTGCCCAGAGTTTTGGTGATCCGCTCGAGCTGCTCCCTTTGCGCTTGAGCGGAGTTTGCACACTTTCAGCATTTTGTACCTCTGCAAAACTTCTGCAGATGTATTTTTCACGCTCGAGCGTATTTCTTCACGCTCGAGCGGGTCGCGCTCGAGCGGGTACCTTGGCGCTCGAGCGGGTGTTCGATGTCTGTAAAAGTACTGGAGGAGTGTAATCTACACTCGAGCGGCTTTTCTTTTGCGCTCGAGCGGGTTCAGTTTTTTGTGCTTGACGCTCAAGCGTCCTATTCTCCGCTCGAGCGGACTAGTCGTATATCAGTTGGCAGCTGGGTCTTTTTAGATCACTTTCTACACACACACTCTCTCTCTCTCTCTTACTTTTCAAAAACACATTTTGAGAGCTTCTCTCACTACATTTCACCTTCTCTCTAGGGTTTGATCTAGTTAGAGTGATCTCCTACCCTTGAGCCTTTACAAAAAGTGTAGAGCTTGGTGTGGGCTTCCTATCAATTTGAAAATCTTTGGATTTGGAGCATATTCGAGTTTCTCACCTTCTCCTTTGGATTCCATCTCTTGAAGTAGGGATAACTACTCATTCTTATGTGTTTTAACATAAACGTTGAGCTATTTGTATAGATGGTTTGATTTTGGAAATTAGGGTTTGAGATGTGTTATGTTGAAAAGTGGGGTTTTGTCCTTGTGGCTCATATATGTATATTTTGAGCCTTAAAAAGAGATTAGTGATGTTGTTGATAATATTTGGGCCTTTGGGTAAATATTGAGAAAAAGGGAGAAAATGCTATGTTTGGGCATATTTGGGTCATTAGTGTAATTAATGGCATTTATCATGGAATCATGAAATTGAGTTGGAAATAATGATATTGGTATAATATGAGATGGAATGGTGGAGTTGGATTTATTAATCACTCACCCTTTGAAAATTGTTGATAAATTATCTGTCCATGTAATTATTTTCTGTTTAGAAATAATTGCTTTGGGCTATCGGTGGAGGATAGTCTTGATTGTTGTAGACAATGCATGATGATTAGGCAAATTAAAACTAATCAATTGAATATGTCATCGAATATGACGGTTGGAATAGTACATCAAATTTATGTATCGATTGATTATGTATATGATATGTGTTTATATACATTGTATTGTGTGGGAGGAGATATGGGATGTACTCCACGGTTTAGGGGAAGATAGGGGATGGACTCCTAAACCGGATATTGTTTGGGAGGAGATAGGAGATGGACTCCATCGATTCAGCAAATATGTGTATCTATTGAAGTATTGATACAGCAAATCTGTGTATCATATGTGAAGTACGGAAGTGTTTTGTTTGAGATTGATACAGCAATTATGCGTATCTATTATGAAGTAGGAAGCGTTTATTTTGAGTTGTTATCTCAATTGAAATGGAAGTACTGTTGATATTAGATGAAATCTCATTTAAATTGTTTGGTCAGGTTCTGAGCCATAGTTATGAATTGAGAAATTGGATAAGAAATGGAAAGTGGAATGAAACATGGACACATTTGTCATGTAATTGAAATGGGTTTTGACTTGATTTATGTGAGTTAAACATTTATCAAATGCTAATGTTTTAGTTATTGCTCATATTATATTTAGCATATCTCTACTGGGCGTTGGCTCACCCTATATGGGACATCATTTTCAGGTATAGGTAGCATGCCACCTCCAAGGACGTACCTTGAGAGGCTTAGTGGCTGGGACATCTTTTGTGATTACATTCATGTGTATCAAGCCAAGGGCTTATTATCTGTTTTGAGTTAGTACTCACTCTTTTTGTAACAAAGTGTTGGCATGGAAAGTTGTAAGCCCGTAAGGCATTTATTTTTGTTGTCAACATGTAATACATTTTGTAATGAATGCTCTGATGAAATGTAATTATGTTTTATTCTCCTATGTCAAGAATATATGATTGATGGGTTTATTTTGAGGGCGTGACATTTTTATTTTGTTTAAAGGTTTTCTAATCTAGTAAGACCTAAACATTAAAAAATATTTTTAAAAATTTGCAAAAATGAATTAAAAATAAATAAAATAAAAGTTAACCAAAAAAAAAAAAATCAGTAAAACATTTGTCAAACTTCCCCTAAATAAAAATCCAACCTCGTGCTTATTTGTTCAGGTGCTCAGAAACCAAAATAAAAATCCAACCTCGTGATTATTTGTTCAGGTGCTCAGAAACCAAAATAAAAATCCAACCTCATGCTTTTCCCAAATCATGCCATCAACTCAACCTCTCCCTCCATTCCTTACTCAAAAAATTAATCAAAAAATCATATTTATAGACTAGAATAATTTTAAATAGAGTTAATTACCTAAAAGTCATATTTATAAATTTATGATAGTTTAGGTCTTGTCAAGATTGTTTTTGAACTAATAAATACTATTTAGTAAAGTTGAGAATATTATCAGCTTTTTAAATTTTTTAAAATTAAGGAACATTTTGCATAGTAATGTTTCAGATAATTATTTTACTAACTGAGGAAAAAACAACAGAGCATGAGATTAAACTTTTTTACCCTTCTACTTATTGGCTTGATTCAACTATCCAATAAAACCGAGAACATTATCAATTTTTTTTTTCAGTTTTAAAACTAAGAACATTATCAGTTATTTTTATTTATTTATTTATTTTCAGTTTCGCACATCAATGTTCCATCACCATACTCTTTTATAGACACAAAATTTTCAATTTTGCACAACAAAATAATTAAGTTTTTTCAATTTTTTCAAAAAAAAATAAAGGTTTTTTTTGCACATAATTTTTTTTTTAGTTTTTTCAATTTGAAAGTTAATGTTTTAAAGTTTTGAAAATTAAAATAAATGTTAAATCATTATGTTCTTTTATAAATAATTATAAATGATGAACAATCATTATTGAAAGACAATTTCGACTACTAAAAATTTAATAAAATTTAAAAAATTTAAAAATCTTAATTAGGACTTAGGTGTAAATGTGCCTTTTAAATATAATTCACAATTCACCTATTTTAAATTTACACATTCACTACATTTTCCAAATAAAATTCGGAAGGTAATTTCATGTTAGATACCATTTTGATTTCCAAATGACTTTTTTTTAAATTTTTGGGGTTGGAATGCCAAACGTCAAAATGGTGTGGGTACACTTTTCCTACATCAAATGATGGATCTTGAATGGGCTATTATATCTTTGAGTCTTTACCATGATTGGACTCTTTTGATTCCAGTTCCAGTTACAACTTTGGACTCTTTTGATTGCTCCACTACAAGATGCTTCTTGTCTTGGCCCTGGCGGTCAACTTGAACTGTTGCCCCACAATGCTGGAAAATTCTGAGTTTTTACTTTTAAATAGAGTGCAGCACTCCCAAACTAATGACCTTTTATTTTTATTTTTTTTATTTTTTAAAGACTTATTACATTTTATATTAATTTTTAATTTTAAATAGAGTAATTCAAAAGATGTTCACATTTATGATACAAATGCCTAATAAGCTCATTAAACTTGCATATTTGTCACCTGTCACTAATTCATTTTGGTAAGAGACGCGTGATATTCATATTTATAGATGTGTACATTTAGTAACCTCAATAATCTTACATATTTGGCACATATTACCAACTCAATTTAATACAAGATACACAATGTTTGCACATGTGAATGCCTAATAAGTCTATTAATTTTGCATACTTGATATGTGTTGCCAACTCAATCCAACACGAGACACATTGTTTGCATCAACATTCAATGTCTCATTTGCTAAAATAATATTAATGTTGGAATTATCATATTTTGTTATCACAATTCGCCTAACCACCTTATGAATGAACAACGTATTGATTTAATAGATCCTACCATGCATATTTATTATTAATACAATATTGACACGTAAAATGATAAATCAAACATCATAAATATATATATATATATATATATATGATAATCATAACATTATTAGCTTAATAGATCAGTACTGGTGTATATCTCCCATACATTGTAGGCACGCAAAATGATAAAACACAATTGGGTTATAAAATTATGATAAGCCTAGCGTTACCCAATGCATATAGAATGTAGGTATTGAGAGCTACCTTGCTTGGGTGATTCTAAAGTGGCCTTTTCTTGGAGGGATTCCTCATTTAAAAATATATATATATATATATATATATGTGAATTGTAAAGCCATTTTGGCAGGCAGCAGTATTTGCAGTCACTTCTGATGACTTGAATCACATGAAACACGTTAATTTTTTTTCAAAATAAATCCATCAATATAAGACTTCTAATTTGATGGGTGACAGTAATACCATGCATTAGGCCAAGATTTGTCAATAGCAACATCCCTTCATCCATCCATAGGAAAATTTAAATGTGATTCTTGAGAATAAACACATTAACCAGAAGGTAAAGCATACCAACATTCTTTGTTTTGAAGTCATTATTAGCACATGATTTACATAATGTGCATTCGCCTTTTCAAACTCTTATTTATCAGTAAACAGAGATATGCTTACATTTTTAACAATTAAAAAATAAAAAATACCGGCTCCAGTTTCTCTACATGCGTCAAAAAGTATAACGAGGTAATTCCACATTCAAGTATATTTTTAATCTTGATGCCATGGAATAGAAATTCCTAACAAGATAACAGTCTACTGTGAAATCGGGTAATTAAGAGGTTAGAAGACAGTTGAAAAGCTCGAGATGATGATTGAGAAGTTGGCAGATTCCAACTGGAAACTCTTTATAATTGCTTCAAAGTCAGGCAAGCGTAAAAGTGCACTGTATAAGAATCGATAGTTTCAGATTTTTTATTCTAATAAAGTAGTTAAAATCATAAACTAAAAATAAATAAATAAATAAAGAAGAAGAAGAATATGAAACATACCTTGGTTGTTGCTTTAATAGTGCAGTTGCAATCTTATGCATGCTAAAACTACACAAAGGTGAAATTAATTATGCTTGCATCATATAAAACTGTCCAAGCAGGCTCAGAAAACAAGCAGACTTCCCTGTTTCAGATGCACAGAGGCAAAACATGTGACTTGATTGTTTTTAAATGAAGAAAATTAAAGAAAATAACATTCCCAATTAAAAGAAAAGTAACAGTGAATGAATCGTATGCATCAAATCAAACAAGAAACAAAAGTTCTTGTTTTTTTATTTATTTATTGCCATTTGTTATTTTATTTTTCTTCAAATCAATCTATATTGAGAATGGAAGTCAGTTCACGGTAGTTGCAGTGCAATAAAAAATCTGCAGTGCCAACGACTTCTAAGTGCATCTCAGGTTCCTATCATGTGGAGAAGTTCAGCAACATTATAAGATTAAGGGGTGTTTGGGATGTCCTAAATAAGTGCATTTTTTATCTTTTTGGACTAAAAAATTGAGGAAAAATATATGGATGTTTGGGTTAACTTTTTGACTTTTTATGGAAAAATGTGTATTAAAAAATTGTATAAATTAGTGTATAGTGAAAAATTAGGATTGGAAGTTAAATAAAAAGTTAACCAAAAAAAAAAAAATCACTAAAACATTTGTCAAACTCCCCCTAAATAAAAATCTAACCTCATGCTTATTTGTTCAGGTGCTCAGAAACCAAAATAAAAATCCAACCTCACTTGATAGCGAACCACCTAATAGCTTTTCCCAAATCAAGCCATCAGCTCAACCTCTCCCTCCATTCCTTTTAACAATATATATATATATATATTTACTCAGAAAATTAATCAAAAAAGCGTATTTATAGATTAGAATAATTTTAAATAGAGTTAATTACCTAAAAGTCTTATTTACAAATTTATGATAGTTTAGGTCTTGTCTAAGATTGTTTTTGAACTAATAAATACTATTTAGTAAAGTTGAAAATATTATCAACTTTTTAAAATTTTTAAAATTAAGGAACATTTTGCATAATAATGTTCCAAATAATTATTTCACTAGCTGAGGAAAAAACAACAGAGCATGAGATTAAACGTTTTTGTTCTTCTACTTATTGGTTTGATTCAACTATCCAATAAAATCGAGAACATTATCAATTTTTTTTTTAGTTTTAAAACTAAGAACATTATCAGTTATTTTTATTTATTTATTTATTTTTAGTTTCGCACATCAATGTTCCATCACCATACTCTTTTATAGATACAAAATTTTCAATTTTGCACAAAAAAATAATTCAGTTTTTTCAAAAAAAAATTAAAAAAAAAGGTTTTTTTTGCACATAATTTTTTTAGTTTTTTTAGTTTTTTCAATTTGAAAATTAATGTTTTAAAGTTTTGAAAATCAGAATAAATGTTAAATCATTATGTTCTTTTATAAATAATTATAAATGATGAACAATCATTATTGAAGGGCAATTTCGATTATTAAAAATTTAATAGAATTTAAAAATTTTTAAAATCTTCATTAGGACTTAGGTGTAAATGTGCCTTTTAAATATAATTCACAATTCACCTATTTTAAATTTACACATTCACTACATTTTCCAAATAAAATTCGGAAGGTAATTTCATGTTAGATACCATTTTGATTTCCAAATGACTTTGTCCTAGAGTGTTGGGGTTGGAATGCCAAACGTCAAATTGGTGTGGGTACACTTTTCCTACATCAAATGATGGATCTTGAATGGGCTATTATATCTTTGAGTCTTTACCATGATTGCTTCAATTAGTTCCAGTTCCAGTTACAACTTTGGACTCTTTTGATTGCTCCACTACAAGATGCTTCTTGTCTTGGCCCTGGCGGTCAACTTGAACTGTTGCCCCACAATGCTGGAAAATTCTGAGCTTTTACTTTTAAATAGAGTGCAGCACTCCCAAACTAATGACCTTTTTTATTTTATTTTATTTTTTATTTTTTAAAGACTTATTACATTTTTATATTAATTTTTAATTTTAAATAGAGTAATTCAAAAGATGTTCACATTTATGATACAAATGCCTAATAAGCTCATTAATCTTGCATATTTGTCACCTGTCACTAATTCATTTTGGTAAGAGACGCGTGATATTCATATTTATAGATATAAACATTTAGTAGCCTCAATAATCTTACATATTTGGCACATATTACCAACTCAATTGAATACAAGATACACAATGTTTGCACATGTGAATGCCGAATAAGTCTATTAATTTTGCATACTTGATATGTATTGCCAACTCAATCCAACACGAGACACATATTGTTTGCTTCAACATTCAATGTCTCATTTGCTAAAATAATATTAATGTTGGAATTATCATATTTTGTTATCACAATTCACGTAACCACCTTATGAATGAACAATATATTGATTTAATAGATTCTACCACCCATATTTATTATTAATACATGATTTAATAGATTCTACAACTTATATTTATTACTAATATAGTATTGACACATAAAATGATAAATCAAACATCATAATATTATTAGCTTAATAGATCTCAGTACTTGTCTATGTCTCCAATACATTGTAGACAGGCAAAATGGCAAGACATAATATGGTTATAAAATTATGATAAGTCTAGCATTACCCAATGCATATAGATTGTAGGTATTGAGAGCTACCTTGCTTGGGTGATTCTAAAGTGGCCTTTTCTTGGAGGGATTCCTCATTTTAAAAGAAATAATATATATATATATATAAATATAACTTTTTTCAGATTTACACATTTTAATATAACAAACGTGATTCAAAACTTTAAACGAGCTTTAAACAGCTGGCAAGCAAAAAAGAGAACTAAAACTAAAACATCACATCATTTGTGTAGACGTCACCTCTAGAGTTTCCTTTAGAGCTCTTTTCTAGAACTCCCAAACATTATGCTTAATATAAAACCTCCAGAACTTTCCTAGAAAATAAATCTGAATTGTAAAGCCATTTTGGCGGACAGCAGTATTTGCAGTCACTTCTGATGACCTGAATCACATGAAACACGTTTTGTTTTTTCAAAATAAATCCATCAAGATAAGACTTCTAATTTGATGGGTGACAGCAATACCATGCCTTAGGCCAAGATTTGTCAATAGCAACATCCCTTCATGCATCCCTTCATACATCTATAAGAAAATTTTAATGTGATTCTTGAGAATAAACACATTAACCAGAAGGTAAAGCATACCAACATTCTTTGTTTCAAGGCTATTATTAGCACATGATTTACATAATGTGCATACGCCTTTTTCAAACTCTTATTTATCAGTAAACATAAATATGCTTACATTTTTACAATTAAAAAATAAAAAATGCATCAAAAAGTATAACGAGGTAATTCCACATTCAAGTATATTTTTAATCTTGATGCCTTGTAATAGAAATTCATAACAAGATAACAGTCTACTGTGAAATTGGGCAATTAAGAGGTTAGAAGACGGTTGGAAAGCTCGTGATGATGATTGAGAAGTTGGCAGATTCTAACTGGAAACACTTTATAATTGCTTCAAAATCAGGCAAGCGTAAAACTGCACTGTATAAGAATCGCTAGTTTCAGATTTTTTATTCTAATAAAGTAGTTAAAGTCATAAACTAAAAAAAAATAAATCAATAAAGAAGAAGAATATGAAACATACCTTCCTTGTTGCTTTAATAGTGCAGTTGCAATCTTATGCATGCTAGAACAACACAAAGGTGAAATTCATTATGCTTGCATCATATAAAACTGTCCAAGCAGGCTCAGAAAACAAGCAGACTTCCCTGTTTCAGATGTGTGGAGGCAAAACATGTGACTTGATTGTTTTTAAATGAAGAAAATTAAAGAAAATAACATTCCCAATTAAAAGAAAAGTAACAGTGAATGAATTGTATGCATCAAATCAAACAAGAAACAAAAGTTCTTGTTTTTTTATTTATTTATTGCCATTTGTTATTTTATTTTATTTTATTTTTCTTCAAATCAATCTATATTGAGAATGGAAGTCAGTTCACGGTAGTTGCAGTGCAATAAAAAATCTGCAATGTCAACGACTTCTAAGTGCATCTCAGGTTCCTATCATGTGGAGAAGTTCAGCAACATTATAAGATTAAGGGGTGTTTGGGATGTCCTAAATAAGTGCATTTTTTATCTTTTTGGACTAAAAAATTGAGGAAAAATATATGGATGTTTGGGTTAACTTTTTGACTTTTTATGGAAAAATGTGTATTAAAAAATTGTATAAATTAGTGTATAGTGAAAAATTAGGATTGGAAGTTGTGCAGCCGTAATTTTTGACTTTGGTGAATAGTGATAACTTTTTAACTTTTTGAGTAACTTTTTGACTTTTGACAACTTGCCAAACTTGGCCTAAAACACCCCAACTATCACCCACTACAGTAACTGCTTTATAACCCAACAAAACCCCATTCCTACTATTCAGAGTCCGCTTTTTTTTCTTTTTGATCATTTTGTCTTGTTAGGGCCAGTTTTTGCTAAACCCTAATAGATGTATGCTGGATACCTCAGCCTAGGGCCTTTTCCATTTTTGCCTTTACAGAAGCACCTTCAACCACTTTGACCTAAACACATGACACTATTTAGTTGATGCATCATGGTTCTGGAAAACTTTTCAGCTTAATTACACCTTTACTCTCCAAAGTATACATTTCAAGTTATTTTGATTCCCATTATCCAAATTGTATCAATTAATTCCCAATATATGAAACTTTCCCAATGTGGTTCCCCTTGCTAATTCTGTCAGCTCTAGCAATTGAATCAGAAGCAGATGTGGAAATTCATCACTGTACAACAGCATAAATAAATAAGCCTTTACATATCACATGTGTCATACCTGACATCAAACATGGGGGATGGCAATTGGTAGCCCTAATCACGATCATTGCAATGAGAGAATGGAGAACAGTGATTTCAGTGGCTTGAGAGTTGAAAATTCATCAGTGGAAGATGATGATGGCCCGGTTAGGACATGTTCACATTGTAAGGTTGTCGAAATTATAATGCTTGAAAAAAGTATAGTAGATTTTTTGTGAGATTGTTGTTTATTGTGTTTGATGTCATGAAATTTTTGTTTTACTCTGTTTTTATGCACTTTTAAGTTAGAAATGTGTGCATATTTTTTTTTTTTCAAAGTTTTTTTTTTATACAAATTTGATTAAAATACTTGACATCCACCTATCATTTTATTGCCTCAAATTGTCACCCATGATATTGTTGGTTCAAGGCTTGATTCTACATAGGAAATTTAATGATGAATTAAGGAAAAAGTATATTGGGGGACAGATACATTGTATGGACTACTGTGATGTTGATAAAATGTCCCTTGTTCATATTGGATGATTTAGCAGAGAAAATTAACTATGCAACATATGTAGAATTTTACTCTAGACTTCCTGGAGTATGAAAAATGGATTAGTTGGTAAGTTCGTTCTTCTATTGTGAACACAACTAACAATCATAGTCCTGCTTTGGAGTAATTTTGTTGGTCATGGGGCTGACAATGATGAGCTAGACGGGTAAGGTTAGTCAAGTGAATATGAGT